CAGACGGTCATGTAGGGTATCAGCACCTTACACCCCTCCAGGATCAAGCTCTTTGCAGACTCAGCTGGAGAAGATACCTTCTGTGCTCCTGTCCAGGGCTCTCCTCCCAAGCAGAAGGGCCAACCTCCGAGCTCTTATCCCATCTGGAAGAGGGTCCTTGGCATCACAAGCAGGCAGCTCCAGTCCAGGTTCCTACAAGTTTTCATGACCGCGGGGCATGCGCAGCTGGGTCCAGATGGAAACGGGGTGACGTGGAGCGGCGCTCTCCCTTGCATCTCTCCGGGTGTTTAATACAATGTGATCGCAAACACGCGCCGACACAAACAAGCGCTGGCTGCAGGGCAAGAGAAAAGCGTCCGCGCCTCTGTCGGGGAGACAACTCTGCACAACGTCAAACAGGGCGGTCTGCTTCCCGCCCTGCTTGCATAACCTCCTTATAAGAGACATTGCCTGCGTAGGAAAAAAAGAAGACTCGCTCTGCAACTGATAACATAGAACTTCACTCTGTTTTGATCCGACGCCAAAATGTTTTATTTATTGGACGTGCAAATGATTCCTTTATCCAGCGCGCGGTTCACAAGGAGTTTGGGGCAGTTTGCTTCGAAATGAGTTGCGGATCGCAGGGTTTGGAAGCTGCTGAAGGGGCTGGGAAGAGCCCAGACAGAAAGGGGAGAAACATGGAGAAGGTGCATGGGAAAACAGTGATTCCTGGGGCTCGGAGGATGAAGACGCAGAACATCTGGGAGGGCTGGTCCTGTCCCAGGGTCATGGAGCTGCGCGGAAGGGTTGGGAAGCTCCAGAGAAGGCCTGGTCCTTCAAAGAAGGCAGGAGAGCCTGCTCCCATGAGTCGGCAGCATCGCAGTCCCGGCCGGAGCGGGCACGAGGAACCGGCCGCTGGGGAAGCAAGTGCCGGTCGGCCTCGTGTTTTTCTGCTTTGAGACAGCTTTTTTTTTTTAATAATTTGGGTTTTCTGACTAAAACTAGCACAAGCGGAAAGAAGACCAAATAGAAGGGCCCAACAAAATCTTGGGGAAAGTGCTCAAAACTGCTGGAATACTGTGTGCAGTTCTGGGCTCCCCAGGATAAGAGGGACGTGGAGCTCCTAGAGAGGGTCCAGCGGAGAGTGACAAAGATGATTAAGGGACTGGAGCATCTCTCATATGAGGAGAGACTGAGTGAGTTGGGCCTGTTCAGCTTGGAGAAGAGAAGGCTGAGAGGGGGATCTGATCAACATGTGTAAGTTCATGGAGGGAGAATGTAGGAAGGAGGGGGCCAAGCTCTTCTCATTGGTGGCCAGTGACAGGACAAGGGGCAATGGGTGTAAGCTGAAACCCAGGCAGTTCCATCTCCAGGTGAGGAGGAACTTCTGCACTGTGAGGGTGCCAGAGCCCTGGCACAGGCTGTGGAGTCTCCTTCTCTGGAGGTTTCAAAACCCGCCTGGACGCAACCGGGTGCCCCGTGCTCTGGGTGTCCCTGCTTGAGCAGGAAGCTTGGTCCCTTTCAACCTTGAACATTCTGTGATTCTATGAAAACCCATCATCTGCCGAAGGAGCCTTTTGGGTCGCACAAGCGCCCAGCACGGAGCCGTCACGGGACGAGCGCGTGACAGTGACCACGGGGCAGCTCTGGAGCCCGCACCGCGCTCACAGCTCCGCGCAGGAGCGACGGGATGCGCCCGTGGACAGCTCTTCCGCAGGATGCAGTCCATCTTTGTGGAAATGAGTTCGTTGGGGGAGCGTCAGGGCTGCCCGCGCCAACCCCGCTCGTGGCTGTGCAGTTAATGCCCTGTTTGCAGAGCCTTTCAATGTGTTTCTCCGAGAAACGGCTGGAAACAGTCCAGTAGTAATTGCATCCGTCTCCGAAAGGGAAGAAATAAGACCATCTTGCTTACTTTAAGAGTGTCTGCAGGGTGAGGAACGCAGGGATGGGAGAGCTTCATGGGGCAATTAAAACAAACCGAGGCGGCGCTTGGTGGCAAGGGCGTCCGCAAACACAGGGGAGGTGATGCTCCAAAGTGAAAAGCAGCGGAGCCGGCGGGAGCTGGGGATGGACCCGGAGCGTCCGAACCCGGCCACAGGCCCCCAGGGCGCTCCTTGGATCCCTCTCCTTTTCCTTTGGCATCACCACGAGCCTTTCCTCCCCACGAGGAATTCTGTGCCGGGGCTGATGCAGGGCGAGGCTGGAGCAGACACCTGCGTAGGAAGCAACTCTGGGGATGCTGCCGGCGCCGCTGGCATCCCGGGAGGGACGAGGGAGACAAAGCTCCGGAGGGAGCCCAAACAACCGAGGAGATGCTTACGGGGAGGCAGGAATGGTGCTCGGGGATTTGTTTCCTAGGTTGGGGTCACGGCCACGGCTTCCCAGCGAGCTGGGAGCACTGGGGCACCTTCCCCCAGCCCCGCTGCCCGAAGCGGCGGCTTCGGCCTTTCGGTGGGAGCGGTTTGTGCCGGCGGGAAGAGCTGCGGACCCCGCGCAGCGCCCGTCGGGTCCCGGCTCCGAGCAGCCGCTCCCCCGCGCAACCCGGCTGCGCTGCTCGGTGCCCAGGGGCAGCGGCGACAGCAGAGGGACAGGGAGGACGGACAGACACCGCGAAGCACAGAGGCCTCCGAAGCTGCAGCCCCGGGGCCGCCAGAAGGACGCGCAGCAGCCACAGCAAAACCCAAACGTCACCCCCAGTCCTGAGGGAGCAATGGGGAACGAGACGTCCCGGGTCGCTCTGACAGAGCAGCCTGCACCCATATGCAGCCAGCCTGGTGCTTAACGCACCCCGCTCCGTTACAAAACCCGCATTTGGTGACAGCAGGGAACTTTGGAGATTAGGGAAGTGGGTATTGGAAGAGCGGCTGCTCAAGCAGCCCCCACGGAACAACCCCCGGGAACCAGGGCAGGGAGGAGAGGCCAAGCGCGACGTTGCTCGAGGGGCGCCCGAGCGAGCGGGGCTGGGAAGCGGCTCCGCGCGGGCAGCGCCAACAAGCCGGGGCTTCAACAGAAGCAAAGCCGCGGGGAGGGAGCGCAGCGCGAGCGGCCGCCCGCCCCGCGGGGCACAGCGCGGAGGCCGGGGCCGGACGCCAGCCCGCCGGTATTTTTAGTGTTGGAAGGGCTGGTCTGGAGCTGGAGGGCGTGGGGGCCGGGCCCGCAGCCCCGCTCGCGCGGCCCGTGACGCGTTAGCAGCCCAGCTGCATCGCACGCACCCGGGCAACGAAAAGGACTCGATTTGCAGGCCATTTGCGGGGAGCCCGGTGAGCAGAGTATCGCACAGGGTCTGCGATTTATTGCATAAATGCCCTCCCAACAGACACAGTAGGTCAGGTTTAGGGCGAGGAGCCCCCCCGGGACCTGTGCAACTCACCGGGTCGCGGTGCCGTCCGGGCAGCGAGCCAGCAGCGCCTCCCCGCGCGAGCCGGAGCCGAGCACCCAAAGCAGCCGCCGCCTTCAAACTTATATTAATTTTATTCACATTTCCAGAACAAAGCATTGGTGGAGGGCGACACTGCGGCCAGCGTCAAAAGGAAAAAGCTCAAGTATTTGTTTGGCTTAAGGCGGGCAAACATTTCAGAGGCTGAGAGAAGCCAGCGGACGGGCTGCCGGCCCCCGTTTCCAGTTCAAGTAGGAGGAATTTCAAAAATAAGCTCGCTCGCCACGTGACAGTGACGATGTCAGAAACTTTAAAGCTCCCTGTGCTCTAAGTGCCTGAGCAGAGCACCACAGGAGCAGGCAGGAAATCTTGTGCAGCCCACGGAGCTTATCCCCTGGCTGATTTATTCCGCCTTCCTCTCGTTCTTTGGTCGCGCAGTTTTGCTCGCGGGGCCGCCCGGCGCGTCCGCCCGGCTCTAACGGGGCTACAGGGCTGAGCGTTCGGGATGGCGCCGACAGCAGCATCCGGGCTCCCTGCTAAGGAGGAAGGCGAAAAGGAGAAAAGAAAAATAAAACAGAGCAATTTGGGACTTCAAGAGCACATCCAGCAATAAGACACGTTGTAATGGGCAGCGCGGAGGCTTTTTGGTTGCACTGCTTGGCCACGGGAGCTGCACAACAGCCGCACGTTCGGCCCGGACAACACGGCCTCAAACACAGGCGGCTGCAGAGCCCGTGCTCAGACCCAGCCCCTCTTAGGGCTGGGGGAAAAAGGCAAATTTTTGTAAAATCGGAGACACAAAGGTCAATTCCTAAGTCACGGGTCAAGTCGGAGCCAGAACAGGAGGGTTTTCTTCTTGTGGGAAATATTCGGAAATTTTAAATCTGTCCAGTGAAGATCCTCAAAGTCTTTTCTTTTTGCCCTTGCATTGCTTTCAAGTTGCTTAATTTCATTAAAATAAAGCTGTATTTGGAAGAAGAGTTAAAACAGCTCTGTGCACTCTGCAAAAAATTAGCAGATTTGCAGAAAGGCACAAGAAGCAGATTCCTGCTTTTCCTAACCCTAAAAGGTTTCCTCCCTCCCTCCTTGCTAAAAACACTGCCTCTAACGGAATAAACTCCAAGTTCACATTTTCTTCTTCCATCCAGCTGGCTTGGAAGCCCCTAGGATTAAAAATCTCTCTGCTGTTTGAATAATTTCAGTGACTGGAATTTCACTGCTCATTTCACTGATTCTCTTCATCCTCTATCTAAATATAGTAAAAAGAAATTTATATATATTTATATATTCTTTTCTTTTCGCTGGAGGCAACCTGCTGTCCCCAACTCACTCTCCCAAAGGGAGGAGGAAACACAGAAAAATCCGCAGGACTTGCTCCCGGGAAAGGAGCACGCCGTGAGATGGCACTGAGCTGTCGGCGGCCGAGGATCCGTGAGCCCAGGGCTGCTGAAGACGGCAAGGGGAGCAAAGAAGGGCTCTCAATAAGAGCCCAATGCAGAGCAGTCCAGCTCCCGAGCCCTGCTCCAGGTGCTTCGGAGCCCGCGCGGTGCCGCTCCCAATTCCAGCCTTTGCACAGACTCGGGATGCTCCGGCTCTTTGGCAAACATCCTTGTTATCTCATTGGAAATATCTGTTAATAAATTAAAGTCGTAGCTTGTCTAGCCTGTGTTAAATTACTAAGTTCTCCTGCAGCTGCCTGTGCAGGGAACTGTTATTTAGGATTTTGGGTGTTCTACATCCCACCATCCGTACGTAGAAGGCTTAAAGTCCTTAACTTCTTATACAAAAATAGAAAGTATGGAGACAAATTGCTCTGTACATTAATCCAGGGCTGAATGCATTCAGCAGCTCCGATTCTGCTGTGCTGACAATTTTAAGGAACTTATTACTTTCGGAAGGTCACCGGGACCTCTCAGGAGCTGGAAGGTCGGACAAAAGACACGGAGAAAGGAAAAATGAAGCGGAGGGCTTCTTGCATCATCCCACCAGTGCATAGAGCACGTTGGTCTTCAGTTCTGGAGCAACTGCAGTCCCAAGACTAAGGCAACAACACTGGGAATAAAGATGCCAAGAGCAGGAGGCAGTCGGAGGCATCCGCGGGTGGACGGATCATGCGGCATCGGGCAGTGCCCTGAGATCCTCTTGCAAGCTGGGCTGGGGAGCTCGCCCACGCTGGGGAACGCGGCACGGAGAAGGGCTTGGTCCGTCCCGCACGGAGCCGCGGGAGCCTGGGGCGCAGCCCCGCACGCTGCGAGGCACAAAGGGAAGGGTTGAGAGGGCCCCTGGGGTGCAGAGCACTTCTCCCTGTGCTTCCAGGCGGGAGAGGGGCCCTGGCAGTGGGGCAGGAGTCCTGCGCCTGGGACAGGCCACGCTCAGAAAACCCTGCTCCCATTCTCAGAGCAGCAGGGAGTACTGGTGCTCTGCTCCGGCCAGCAAAGCGCACGGGTTGCTCCCTGCAGCAGAGCCCCGAGCCTCCCCTCCTCCTGGATACAGATTTGCTCTCTTTGGAGGATCATTCGCTTGTGGTTTCGCTGTTTGTTCGAACCTTGACCTCCTCTGCTGAGATCTCCCTTCAGCTTCTGCCTGGCTTCCCATAGAGGCTTGGAGCTCTCGGTGCCCTGCTGCTAAAGCACCCGACTGGTACAAGGGAGAGCCCCTTTGGAGGCTGTCAAAGCCCAGCACTAACTCCCTAAGATTCTCCTTGTAGGGAATAAAAGCAAATCGTGTGTAGGACGTGCTTGCACCTATCTGTGTCCGCTGGCCGCTGGCGTTTCAGCTTGCAGTGCTCCTAGCAGGCGGCCGACGGCGAGGAGAGCGCGGATGAATTCAGCCAGCTCGCAAGGGCACCTGATGGTCTCGTTTTGCCACGGCCCGAAAGTCCTGATGGGGTCCTCTAATATGGTGCAAAGAGTCCATTAGGCAGGATCTGAACTTGTAAGATCAGCAGGAGAAACTGGAATTTAAAAATCAGTCTTGAAAATGTCAGTTCTTGAGTCACATTTCTGAAAGATGCAGACGAGTTGTCTGAAGTGCAGATTTTCCCTATTTTTTCACTCCCTTCTCAGAGTTTTTATACATATGACTGTACATATACATATATTAAACACGCTGGTGATAATTCAGTCTCTCTTTCAGGCATTGTCATTGCACACAGCAGGCATTTCACTCATAGCTTTTTCTTCCTGTCGCAGCTCCACCAATGCTACCCTAGATTTCCCCTTATAACTGGAGGTTTCTTCTAGATCTCCTCAGAGAGATTGATATATCAAAACCAAATTCAATTAAAAAATATAATCATTTCTTCTTGAAAGCGAAGCTGCCCCATATTCCAGATGGTGGCAGGATTTTTATGTCTTCAAAATACTTATAACAAATTCTACTTAAAATATGCCTAAGTCCTAATCTGCCTGTTTGGCACTTCATAACACCCTTTAAACTGAAGATTTGTTCCCTGCAAATCGGTGCTGGGCTCTGGCAAAGGGCTCTGCTCAGTGCTCTTCCGCAGACCGGAGCATGAGGATGGCGTTGGAGATTTTCAGAGCCGGGCCCAGCTTGATGCCGAGTATTTTAACTAGATCGGTCTGGTTCATGAGTAGAAAGGCCTCTCCGTCTATTTGCTAGAAATTGGAAACACAGAGAAAATAGAGATTATTACTTAGAAATTGGCAGGTTGCTTCTCATTTTTAGTCTTTCCAATTAAACAACACACTTAGGATTGAGAAATAAAAGCAAAAGCACTGCCTTGAGGATGCCTGATCATTAGGCTTTATGTTCTTTAAAAGGATAAATCCTCTAAAATCCAACAATTGTCCAAAGTCCTAGAGCTTATTCACAATCTGCAGCCAGAAATTAGATGAGGAAACGCAGAGCTCAAGCCTCCAGCAGGCAGCTATCCAGAAGGAATATCCTACCCTCCTCGACAACAATTAGACATATCAAATCACCGTTTCCTACTGCATGCAGTACATGCTCTCACTGGAGATTTGGGGACTCCTCTTAAGCCGTTCAGGGTAAAATTTAAAGCCAAATGCCCTCTGTGCTGATGTTTTGGTCGGCTTTGCTAGAAACCTTACAGAGGAGAAAAATGCCTGAGATGTGAATCTCTGTCTGTTCTCAACTCTGATATGCCCACAAGCAACAAGACATTCTGGGCATCAGAGAATGAAATCTTTTTTTTTTTTTTTTTCTTTTAAAGAAGATCAGCAATTTACTTGGGTTCCCAAGAACATCCGCAGTTACCCAGAGATGACAAAGATATAATTAAAACAAATAAAAAAAATGCTTCAGGGAGGAAGCCAAGGATTAATGGAGAGAGACAAGGAATGTGCATCTCACTGGGACACATTACTCCATTAACATCCATTTGCAGAGACCAAGAGCATCTCAGCCTCTTCTTTGATGATGACCAGCTACAGCGGATGACACGGGACATTCATCTGATCCAGAACAGCAATTCTGCTTCCCTTGCAGTTGTCCCAGCTAGAACTTCCTTGCATTTCAACAACTGCTAGAAGCAGCTACGTTTAATTAACTCAAACCTATAATTAAAGCAAGGAGCTGGCAGCCAGGAGGTTTCATTTCCCCTTTTCTGCTCTAGCCACACAGGAGACCACGAGCAAGTTACTTAACGGGCCGGCGTCTACACTGAGAATGACAGCAGTGCTCCCCATCTATAGATAACTTCACCTATTTATGTTTGCAAGCTGCCCAGAGTCTGTATTACTGCAACGAACAAGCTAAAATGCTAAAAATATCTTGAAATAAACGGATCACTGCTTCAATTAAATAGAGCCAAGAGTAGAAGGGAAATGCTGGAAAAAAGTCCTGGGCTCGAAAATGCTTTTGCATCTAACATTACCATGTTTGCTGTTCCTGCGTTGCCTCGAAGGTGCCTCCTTTGGAACAGCCCTGCCCTGCACACAAGCGCAGAAGGCTGCCTGGGGTTTATTATGCATTTCTTTGCTCCGTCTTCTTTGAGTGGTTTCTGAAATTCTGCGCACAATTTGTTCTCTTGGTTCCTAACGTAAGCAGCCCTCATCCCCCCCCCCCGCCAAGAGAAGGCTGCAGGGGATTTATTTCTCCTAAACAGAGAGCACTCACCGGCCTGATTACTGCTAACGGACAATTCGGGTGGAGTGAGCAGTGCTGCCACTCGCACAGGAATTTGGCCCAAGCCAAACTTGCTAAAAGGTTTTAATTTCAAACTAGCAATTTAGCCTGAGCAGAAACCTTAAATAAATAAACAAATAGATAAAACCCAAGCTCCTCTCGCCTGGCAAAGAGAATGAAAAGCTAAGGTTGCCGAAAGTAAGATCCTAAAATAGAGCGTGGCTGCACCTAGAAAGGAATAAAGCCGCTGGAAGTGGGGCTAGGAGCAGCTAAACCAAAACTGCAAGAAAATAAGAAATGGTGAACGGTCCTGTTAGAAGACTCGCTAGCTACATCTCACTTACCAAGCCCTAATTTCTGAATATGTCGTCTCTAGAAATGAGGATGCATCTTTTACATTCAGCTGTACTGACAGGCTGGTTCACTTGGGTAAATCCCATTACTCCTACTGTGTTCAAGTAAGCAGGATCCTGCTGCACTGTTACTTTGCAGTAGGTTTTTTTTTTGCAAGCCTTAATTTCTTTTGCTTTTTGTTAGTCTTATTTTTTTTCTAATCAGTGGAGACAAAATACAGGTACATAAAAGAAAAAGCCTTCACCCTTGTGCTCTCATATCCGAAGTGGAGACTGGAGCGGTGCCCTATATGGGGACAGAAGCTCATTTAGGGTCTCCAAGTCGCACCTCTAAGGTCACTGGAAGCCAAAGCACCTGCTAGAGCACAAGCGTTTCCCCCAGACGCTCACTGGAGGACGGCTCCTCCGCGCTGCCTCATCGCGGCCCACGGCACCGCCGCGGCTCCCAGGCTTTTGCCAGGCTCCCGAGCGGAGCCGGCATCTGCTCCCGGCTCCGCTCGGCGGAACCGCCTGTCCTGGTTCCGACAGGACATCTTTATAGCGCTGCCAAAAGCGCTCCACAATAGTCCAAGGCAGGATGTCAGGCCAAGCAAACAAGGCAAGCGACTCCAACGGCTGGGGGGGGTTGGAAGCAGCAGGATGCAATTAGGCACGTTAGTATTTAGCTCCATACTGAAGCTGTCTCCTAACTGCCAGAGGCTCTTTAATGACAAATGTGAGCCCGTCAAGGCGATCAGCGCCGTAACTCTGGAATAACACGAGCACAAAAGCACCTTCTTGCTGCCAGACCCTCCAGCATCGCAGTGCACGACCTGGGGGGCTTCACTTACCTCGTCCCTGAATATCGGTGCTTGCTCCTTGCAGCCAGGCAGGCGCTGGATGAAGTTTGCCACCTGCCATTAAGCACGGGAAAAGAGAAAAGTGGACAATTAAAATGGGGCATCATCAACCAAAAATATCTTATCCTTCTATTTTAAACTCATCTACAGCGTTCATTTTCTGTGTGGTTTTGTCAGAAAGCAAAATCTAGAAGAAAAAGGATTTAGACAGCTTCACATGACAACGTCGCTGAAAGAGACAAGCCTGGAAACAGGAATACAAATATACGGATGACATGAAGCACTAGGAAGGAGTTTGCTCTGCTTTAATCTGTGCTGCTTTGAAGGACAGGATCCGCGGAATCAATGGGATTAAAAGAATATCAGTGAACTTGGCTTTTAGCATCAGGGAAAACACTTTTAAGGGGAAATCTGTAATAGCTGCCGCGGAGACGCTCACAAGCAGCCCACGGGTCACCCCGGGGCACAAGCGACGCGAGGAGCCCTCCTGAGCCGCGCGGAGGGTCACTTAACAAGCCCCGTGTTTTCCATGCGTGCTCCACTGGCGCAGATTGGTCTCCGAGGCGTAACGAGACCAAACACATGCCGCTAATCGGCGGCGGCCCCGCAGGAAGGGCCCGTCGCGCGGCGCAGGGAGCGCTCGCTCCTGCCATCCTGATGATTTTTGGTGCAAAGCGTCAATTCAAATTCCTCGCGGTCTGCAGGGAAGGTGGCCGTGACCCCAGACGTGTGTGGTGCCCCGAAATCCCCATCTCTTGCTGTGTGTTTGGCAAACTCGGGGGGTCTGACAGAGCCCCCCTTTAACGCCGCGCTGACGGCGCCTCGTGACAAGACGCACACAGGAGCCGGCATTAACTTGGATTTAGCAGCGCCCAAGCAAGTAGCACAAGGACAGACTCCCCATACGTTGTATTGGCAACTCAGGCGGGATGAACTAACCAACACTTCAGTTCCGTCACCTCCCCACATTCCTGTGCGACTCAACACCCTTCCCCGGCTGTGCTCCGAAAGCACGGGAGGAAGCTCTCAATAAATAACAAGGCTGCATTAAAATAACTGCTCTTGCAGATTGTGCAGCGTTACCAAGAGCCTCTTAGCTTGAGGGTCTTAAAATCCTGCTGCTGCTCTGCCAGTTCAGCTCTTCTCAACCATCAGAGAATTAAGGATGTTTTTCCCCCTTAATGTGGGTTTTGTAAAATAAAACAGTTCTTCATCCGAAACCAAAGAAGAATTTTACACTCCCGTCGCTTTGCTCTTGTTTCAGACCAGCAGAATGGTCTCCTTTGTGCCAGAGTTCAAAGCATAAGCCCTGAGCAAATCTCTGCTCTGTAGGAAGATTTTAGGAAGCCAAGTGCCAGCAGATGAGATCTGCTTTGGACTTGCCCAAACACAGAAGGTCCCGCTTGCTTTCATCCACACGGACCTGCAGCTACATTTAATTGCTCACGCTGATCTTGCAAGTGCTCATACGGAGGCCAAATTGATTCCTATAATTTCCATAATTTGCAAAATCCGATCTCTTTTATTGCAATTCAAGACAAAACCTGCAATCACTTTGGCCGGTCCCCTGCAACTCTGTTTTTTCACTATGCTGTTCCCTCTTACCAGTGGCCACCTCATTTTTCGGACTGCAGCACAGATCACAGCTCAGCATATTCTGGGTTTTGAAGCACGATGTCCAGAGCACCTTCATTCATTCCCTGCGCTCCCTACTTAGGCTCATCTGTTACCTAACTAATGCCCCAGTTAAATTTACCCTGCAGTTGTTTTAAAGGTCAACTGCAAAGGAAAAAAATTATTTGGCTTGTGTCCTGACTCTGCTCTTCCATGAAACAGCCTCCATGTTTTATCCAAAAGAAAGACATCCTGCTTATTTTTATGTCAGAGGATTAACTGCTCCTGCCCTCATTGATTTACTATATGACCTTTTGGAGAAATCTGTGCAAGCTTCGAGAAAGGACTTGAACAGCAAATCTCCCACAGAGGTTGTTCTTTGCCTCCGTGTGTTTGCTGCAAATTCAATTCCAGCACTTTTTCATTAAAACACAAAACAACAAAAAAGGGCCGAGTTTTAACCAGTCACACTCCTTGCTCAGTCCCCTTCACAGCCGCGCTGGCTCCCGTCTGCTGCCATCCTGCATCCCTGCCAGACGCGAGCAGGAAGAGCAAAGTCAGGATGGGATTTATCTGATGCAAGGGGCACTTCAGGAAAACGCACTTTCTAAAAGTCCCTGAAGACCCTTGATGCTTCATAAAAAAAAGTGGCACCTTTTTTCCTGCTTGGCAGATGAGCTCCTTCCTTGCAAACGCAGCATTAAGAGTCTTTGTCCTGAATTAAACAGTCTACGACCCAGTGCCAAGATTGGAATTGTCACCGCCTCCCGAGCGGAGGTACAAATATTATTTATGCCCAAGGCACGGAGGCAAAAGCATCGACTCAGCACGCACAAGATGCTATTGTCACATGGCACCTAATTACAGGAGACATCTCAAGAGCTCGGAGAGCCGAGACCCGTCGCCGGCTGCGCAGCTCCCTCGGCCAGAAGGCAGGTCAGGCTGTGGGCAGTTTTGTTGCAGGGGAAACAGGAGGGGAGATGAAAAACGAGGGGATCTGGAAGCATCTGAAATGCAAAAGTAAATCAGCAGCCAAGTGACAGGAGAGGGAGGCCAGACGGAAGCAAAAATCTGCTGCCAGCATCACGTTTCGGGCCTGTGGACTCAAAGATTGAAGAGTAAATAAATATACACAAGAAGAATCCTATGCAGGGAACTCTGCAGACACTGGAGTGTTAATGTGGATCCTTCCCCTCCCTTTCTAAGGGGACTTGGGAATAACTTCTAAGCAAGTCAGTAATTTATTGCACATGGCATGGTTGGAAAGCAAATCGAAAGGCACTGCCTGGGAAGGGAAAGACAAGAAGAAAGGGAAGCCTCCCGAGCAGCTCCGGGAGCGCCCGGCTTCCCGGGGCCCCTGCAGAACGGGGCACTCACCTCTTCCACCGACCAGGCGGCCACGTCCTTGGCCGTGAGCCCCGAGACCGCGGGCAAGAGCCGGCAGTGCTGCTCCCAGCAGAGCTGCAGGCGGCGGCTGGGGCTGGACGCCAGGGAGGGCATGAAGATGGACTGGTGCAGGGCCTGCTGCAGGTCGAGATCCGCGGCTGCAACGGGGAGGAGACGGGTCGGGGCGAGATCACCAAAGCAGGGGCACCCTCCCGAGAGCGGGAAAGGGACAAAGCCCCAGGCTGGCAGCTTTAGCTTCTCAGCAAAATGATGTTCGGAGCATTTTATTGACCAGGTGGAGGGGTTCTGGTAAGAGCATCTGCAGCTGGGGCCTCAGGGCATCGCTGCAGCTCGCAGCTGTGCCAGCCTAAGGGCCCTCCACGCACCCGCTGCGCTGCAGGTCACCTCCAGCACCAGCTCCCTCCTCTCATGTCAAACGACTTTAATCATAGCCGGGAACCCCCCATCCCTCCCCAGCGAGATCACTGCAGAGTCAGGGCCCTAGGGGTGTTTGGCCACATCCCACAAGGGGCACCGGGGCCGGCTGGACACACTGCACCCCGGGGCCATCGCGGCACCCGCGTGGGGCCACGGGACTGGCACCCGGCGCGCGGCAGCCCCACGGCCTCGGGGCTTCGGCACCAGCAGCACCCATGGGTTCCCCTGGCTTCACGCCCTCCTCATCCTCAAGGGTGCCCGCCCATGGTGACAGGCACCTGGAGAGGGAGGAAGGCTCATGGTGACGTTATCTGAACTTTTTCCTCCCTCAACTCCTTCCCCTTGGGAAAATTTCCAAACTACCATCTGAAGAAGTTATCTTCTCCTTGAGAAAGCAGCAGGGTTCCAATGGCTTAAGTACAGATGGGACGGAAACTCTGGGCAGTTGTGGGATTACAGGTCAGTGGATTACTGGAGAATCTCCCTCTGGCCACTCCTGTCATGCTGGTTAAGGTGAACGTGGAGGGAAGGAGATGGATTTTGCTGCCAACGGCAGTGCGGAACGGCCAGGCCTCTCCGGCTGCACAAGTCAGCACTAGGTAAAGAGGCAGCGAAGAAAAGCCAGGCACCTGTCCCGGTTTGTGCCTGCTTGGCTGCTTCTCGATTAGAGATTTATTACCATGTTAAATCCTCCTAAAAGCCTGGTCAGCTTGCCTCTCTGATATGGCTTTTTATAGCAAATCTGAAAGTAGGAACATGTTGTTTGTTAAAGCGATATCAGGAAGCTCCTCTTAAAACTTAACCAGTCATGTACCAGAAAAAAATATACATTGATTTTTCATTTGATATTTTAGATTTCTATTTCATCCTCAGGAGAATTTAAAGATCACTGTTTTCTTCACTAGCTCAGTAAATACTGGCAGTGAAACGCCCTCACTGTTACACAGGAGTATGCAGGGGTATAAAAGGTGAGGCAATCTGATCTCAGTTAATAAATGGGAGACTCTACAAAGTAATAACTGTCATATCACTAGGGGATTGTACTCTTCCTCCATTTCCATTTTAAATGAAAAAGGGGAAGAAAATTAAGATGACTCTTACACCAGCCTCATGCACATGCTGTGGAATCAAAAAGAGATGTAAAGTTTTTGTAGAGTTTTTGTATTTAAGCACATACACACACACACACACAAATCAACCAACCTTTTCCGTCGCCTTCTTGTTTCACCAGCTGTAACTTTATATAGGCGTGTGAGCACCCGAGCCTGAAAGCATCAATCACAAAAATGTTACTAAAGATGCACAATTTGTGAGGCTTGTTCCTTCTCACCAAGATTAATGGGACTTGCAGAAACTAAGATCTTTTCCCTCTTAAAAGTGGCAGTTGCGCCACACTGCCCCAATCTCTCTTTCTCTCTACAAGAGACAAATTTCCCATTATTAAATTCATGGCTAGACCTCAGACACAAGTCTAGAGCAGGAAAAAGAGCCACAGAATGGGAGGAAGGGAGGGGATTTAAAGTTAACATGTTGATCTAAAACTCTACCCTTCCAATGTCTGATCGCAGCAGGCTCTTCCAAGCCAGGGATTTACATCTGTATTTCAGATGTGGCAGCACCCCCAGGAAACACAACAGTTAATACATGAAAACCCATGTTTTCATGCAACCATGCAAAACATCTTATTTACTGTTTTGGTTTGGCTTTGTCAGATGTGGAGGATTCCTCTTCTGCCCAGTCTCTCTCCTGACTGTTTTCAGACTGTTCCGACAGGCTGTACAGGCTGCACTGGCAGGATTTTTCACTGCTTTGTACAGATTTCCTGCAGACAGACAAGCGATAGCAGCTAGGCCGACTTGTCCCCTCTTCCCAGGGGAGAGCAAAGCTGCTTCTTGCAAGTGGCAGCATCAACCACCATCTAGTGGTGGAAGCTTCCCTCTCTCCCAGGATAATTCAGATGTTCCAATGGGACATTTTAGCTGTCTCCTGCTGCTCAAAAATTAACGCGCAGATAATACATAATTTTCACAATACTCCGGTTTAAGATTTTCAATGAAATATTTGAAGGAGCTCAATTTATTTGCCAAGAGATACATAAAGCCATTACACCAACCAGCCCACTGCGGGATGGAATGCAGTCATAATTTAATAGTGCAAAATAATCTTGCTTGACAGTTTTAGGACAGGAAATGAAAGAAAAGTGTGTGTATATAAATATATATATATGTATATATATATATATGTATTTCATATATATATATATGTATATATATATGTGTGTGTATAGCTATATATATATATATGGAACAGGAAGGAAAATGAAACAGCAAGGAAAATTTATGGAGAAAGAATGCAATTTCCTTAGTGGGAAGGTAACCAGAGCAGCAGGATGAAGGAATCAAGAAGCCTATTACGGCACGTGAGGGTACAAAAGTGCCCTGCTCCGTGTTGAGGTTGGCTGGGCCATGGCTCACTACGACAGATTAGCTCAGTGCTTTACTGCTTTTCTGACAATTCTCATGTTTGTCTGCATTATAGAACAGTTTGACTCCCTGGTTATCTGCAAAGGAAAGGGGTTGAGCTCACCTGGAATGGGGAGAGTCCTCCTGAGAAGACTCGCCTGCTCCCCCAAGAAATGGAGCAGCCATTTCTGGTCTCCTGATTTTCTGGATGCTTTGGCTAGGGGCAGGTCTCTCCCCGCTCAGACGGTCCAGCAGCAAGTTTTCTCTGTTGAGATTCACATCGGAATATGGGCAGCCAACTAAGCTGTGTTACCAAATAAAATAAAATAAAGAGTTCATGTTTTTAAAGCTGGCATAGCAGCACTCTTCCTCACTAGCTCTTACTGTTTGTCTGAATAATAACTCGTGAAACAAAAAACTGTCCTGCAAATTTCACTTTATAGCCCTTACAATACTATGTGATACTGAATCTTCCAAAATCCTCTGAGTTTCTTTTTGTATTCTCCTTTTCCAAGAACATGTAAGAAATTGGAGGCAGAGCACAAAACAAGAGCTAGCTCTCCCCACACCTCCGCAATAATACTTCACCCCAGCCTCTCCCCTTTTACCTGCCTGCTGCCATGCTCTTCTTGGGTATATTATTTTACATAAGAAATTGCTTTGTTGATGCTGGGAAGTAGAGGCTGGACTGAATTAACATGTGTGATTGCAGTTGTCATGGTTCTGTTGGTGTAAACTGAATTAATGGTGGAATAAGGGATTGAGACACAAGAGGGAGCTGCAGTTACAGTTATAACCATCTCCTGACCCACCACCTGCGATCATTTCGGTGTGGTGCAGGTGCCTGTTGCTCATCGCTCCTGCAGAATCAGAGAGGCAGAGCATTTACCAGGACACCCGGCACACGTACGTGTAATGAGTTCCGTATCGCGGTCCCTTGACGTGACCGATGCCCTGGCAGCCTGGAGTAGGACACATCTGTCCCGCGGTTCCCACTGGAACAGCAGCACCTGATAATGAAAAGAAAGTTAAACAGATTTGTAAAAGCTTCCTGCATTTGAAGAGCAGGTTGCACTTAAACATATAACACGACACTGATGCCATCTACTTTACCTAGTGGGACTTGCAAAGCGTGGCCAGTCTTTGCACACCAGCCAACTGGATGAATGTCTGGGCTGTCCACGTCAACCCAGAAATCATAAATATGGTCCCAACCATCAAAATGTATCTGAAAGAAGCACAAAGCAAGGGGTACAGTTAAGAACACAGCTCACCTTTTATCTTAACTTCTCCCTTTGTCTCATCTTGCTCAGCTTTGGCTGACTCACTCAATTCTTTAAGCCATGCACAATCATCCTTTATGTGCTCAGTGTAATTATTTGTTTTCCTGAGTCCTTTATTTCCTAGCCCATTAATAGTTATGTTTTATAGAACACACAGGTTCTGGTGACACAGTCAAATCACAGAGCCTATTAAAAATCATAGATTAGGGGCTGACCCATAAACTCTATACTTGGGACTACATATCTGCAAACAGATTTTTTTTTTCTTCTGAGAATCCAAAAAAAACACCATAAAAGCCAAGGATTTTGGCCAGTTTTGTGGTGAGCTGACTAACATTTTCAATAGTAACACGATTTGAAGGGCTTTGCATTGTTGGTTCAGATCCAGGTTGGCAGAGATTAAAGATCACTGCTGCTTAAAGGCTGCTGGGCTGTTTATGTTGTAGAGTTGCAGGCAAATGTGCAGCTGTGCTGCAAACCACGCTACTGCGCTTGACAAAATCTGAATTTTTCCCTGCAATCACAGAGAAAAGACTGAGAATCAAGTGGCCGGTGGGGAGCAGGCTCCGCAGGAAGGAGGCCTCTTGCCAAGCAGCCCCCATCAACAGAGCCTTTTTTCGTTTCGTTACCTTGATTCGATAGTCATCTTTGTCAGCTACAGTCGCCACTCTTATCAGGATGGGATTCCGTCTGTCCACAGCCTCTAGCTTCATATCGACCTGGAATCCGTGAGCAGGACGCTGGAAAAGAGAAGTGCGAGTGCAACGTAAATGCATTGGAGGGGAGCTCCAAGCTCCTCCGTTGGCCATGGCTCCTCAGTGCATATTGTGTGATGTGGAGAATCTTTATTTTTTTTTTTTTTTGGGGGGGGGGGCACTTTGGATATTATTCCTGCCCCACAACCCCCCACTTTAATGCCTAGAAATGGTGAAGGGCACTGCTAGCTCCTGAGCCACATTACGTTTAGTGGTGCAGGAACTGCATCATCTCTTACTGGGAAAAGGACCTCAGATGTGGGGCTGAGCTACGTGAAGGCACCTCCCCTGTGCTCTTTCCTTTTTGGGAAGAGCACAGTGAGCCATCAGCTGATGAGCTCAATCCCCACGGTTCTACAAGCTTGGATATCACGTAACCACCTGGAGAAATCCAGGTAGCGCATCCCGCTCTGGCCAAGCCTTTGGCTGCCGGTGGGAGCCGCGTCCTCCTCAGCCCGTGCTGCAACACGCAGCAGCTTTCGCTTTGCTGCCAAGTTCTTCTCTTGCACAAAAGTTTGGTTATATCTGTGACTTCACAGTGAGGACATCCCTTTTCCTTCCCCACGCGAGAAGGACTCCGAAAGGCAAAATCCCCATTTCCGAGACAATTGAAGGAACTGTAGATCTTTGCTTCGAGACTGGGATTAGACCTGCTTCAGGAAGAGCCCTCCAGAAGATCTCCCAAAGCTAAAGCACATCAAGCTAAATGCAGGTGCTCAACTCACAAAAGTGCTGCTCAACTCTCTCTCAGCTGAGCACGGAAGCAATTGCATCCAAGGCAGAGAATTCAAGAATATTCTTCAAGAATATTCAGTGGACAAGCAATAGTTGGGAGGGATGGATTTTAAATTTCCTTTAAATTCCTCCTCTGAGCTGCTTAGCTGGGAGTTACGGAGCACTGGGCACTCAGTCAAGGTGTGCCCTTGCGCTCATCAACCAAGGTCAGGATTTTAGGCAGAGCTGACAGTTTGTTCCAACTCAGATGTCAGAACAAGACCAGAAGGTTAATGAAAAGATGCTTATAAACCACTGTTAATTCTAAGAGCTGACCATGTCTGTCTGCCCTGGAGAAGAAGCCTGAGTGTCAGTGAACAAAATTCTGCTCAAGTGATGAGCAAGGCTACCCATTTAGGCACCACTGGCATTTCTGGCAGAGGTTTCTGGAGCTTGCAAATTTACAGCCCATGGCATGGACAGACACAGTGAGAGAAGCACTGACACTGGAACTGCCTCCTCCTGGGTTTTTGGGTGGTGAAGTCCAGAGATGGGATCTGCTATTTGTGCCAACGAGCAGCGTCTCCACACTGCAGTGATAGCTGCTGAAAACTGCTAAACAATAATTCTGTGACAAACGCCAGTTCTGGCTCTCGACTCATATTTTTATGTACTGATCTGCTGTAATTGCTAGCTGTAATAATAATAAAATCAATAGCTGTACCATGTATTTGCAGGCCAGAAATATAACGAAATTTGATCTTGGAAGAGTTCTATTAACTGTTTATGAATCAAATACCATTTTTTTCTACGTGATTTTTTAAACACAGCCTTGGATGCTCATTTACAGTCTAGAGTTTCAAGAGGGCCATAACCAACCCTCCCTCCCGTTCTCTCAAAGTCAGATTTTTCAGAGGAGCGAAGTTGTGGCTGCAGAGGTAATGGAAACACAGGCTAAAGAGTTGGACAAGACCATGTCTTTCTGCTCTTGTTTTTCTTTAAGCAGCCAAGAGGGATGATCTTAAACTCAGGCTCAAAGTTAAAAAAAAAACACCAAAAAAACCCCCATAGTTTTACCCATTTGGCAGAGAAATGGTGAGCCACTGTCACATCAAAGATCTAGCAAGAAAGGGTAAATAGCAGCCCAGTTTCCTCTAGTCTCCTGACTTAAAACCAAACCAAAACCAGAGATTCACCAACCAGTTTGAATGCTCTTGCTGGAGCTGCCTGAGAATTAGTCTCTTCCAAATACTTCTCCCAGGAGAAACCTTCGGAATCCTTGTATCCTGGAGGAGGCAGGGAGAAAGGAAGATTAATATCTAAGAAAAATCTGCAGTTATTTGTCACAAACAATAGAGAGGGAGCTCTGCAGCACACGGCTATTATATTAATTTAGCACTTACAAAGGGTAAGGGGTAGTGTTCACTCAAATGCCCCATTCGGAGCACACACAGCAGCCCCGCACATTTCCACAGCTTCTACACGGGGCTTTAGCAGCAAAAACTGAACAGTTTATTTCTGCACAACTTAATCAATTTGTACTCTGTAGAGAAAGCTGCCAATTAAAAGCCAGGCAGCAGATTCTGTGACGTGGAATGGCACCACCAAATCCATCTCTTATTTTATTACCTATTCTGTGTGAGTGACTGTCAGACTGTAGAAACTTCTCATCACCTCCTCCCTACTCACCCATAGCTGGGTAAAATTAGCAACATGCAGATAAAAGCCTCCATCACCATTACCCTAATTTCAGAGACCTACACAGGTTTGCTACCGTAACAACCACAGAATGTTTCTCTCCTGCAGCAATTTCTAAGCTACGTTTCAGAAACGCTTCTGCTTTGTTTTCCTTCTTATTTCGGTATTTTTGTAGCTTCGGTGTCCCCCGTTGGCAGCAGGGCCCGTCACAAGTCGCACAGGACAGTTTGCAAATTGCTCTGCAAGCGAATGCCTCTGCAGAGAGAGCAGAGCTGGCTGCAGACCCTGCCAGGGCGCAGTTAATTGGGGTCTGAGGAGGGGGGCTGCTCCCCACAGCCCTGGGCAGCGGGCAGGAGGCTGCTGCAGACAAAGGGTGTGCGGCCCCGCACCGCGGCACCCACAGGGGCTGCTCCTGCACCCGCTCGACTCGATTCGATAATCGGTAATTACAAAACGTTCTTGTTCTAAAACTGTCAATCCAGCAAGCAGGAGATTGTTATTATTATTATTTTTAAGGCAAGCAAGAGCTCTCAAGGCCTGAAAACAACATTGACTTTCCTGTAGGCTCTGTCCTTTCTCATTTGCCACCATTCCTCTTCATTTGCTGAATGCTAGTGCAGCAGCAAAAAGAGGTGACTTCAGTTAATCTTTCATTTCCAAAAATTCCATCTCACCATCAACAAAATCATGACACCGATTCCTTTTTCTTCCAGCTCACCTTGGAAAGGAAATATTGCAAATAAATCAAAACCCTCTTTCCCTTTTGAAATCAAATTCAATTGCAAATTACCAGACCTCATTCCACTGCTTGGAAGAGTTATAAAACAAAATAAACTGCAGCAGCAACAAGCATGAACAGAAACGTCGTTCAGTCAGTTGAGAAAAGAGAACTGAATGGAACCTGTAACTTGCAGGTACGTAATTAGAGGGGAGATGGAGCTTGCAGGGCTTTTCACTGAGGCAGGAAACAGGCGCCACATCCAACGTACCAGGTGGTGTCGTCAGTGGAGTTCCAGTTTCCTGGCAATAACCAACGGGACGAATGTAGGGGCTGCTGGCTTCACACCTGCACCAGAGAGAAAACGGGAGCGCTGGCCAGTTGCAAGGCGAGAACAGACACAAAAATTCAAGAGCTGCCTGAAAGGCCTTTCAGATGCTTTCAGCCAGTGTGATCGCGGTGTAAAAGACAAGCGTTGCCTTCTTAGAAGGCAAAGAAACCCTAGAATCTGCCTGACGCTTTAAAAAATGTGGAAGATGCCTATTCTTTTTAATAAAACACGGACCCTACAGACCACCACTCAGCCTGGACAGAGATGGTCAAAGTCGAAACAAAACAAAACACTCATCCCCAAAAGAATCACTGTAATTTGGCAGAACAGGCAAAGGTTCTTCAGGCCTCAGTTTAGAAATGCCTGTTAGCCATTAATTATAGCTGGAAACTGGTGGTATTTGTCCTGGCTCCTAATTTTTGAGCTTTTTTGAAATGGGAGCATTGAAATTGTTCCTCGAGTCCCACTGGCTCCGAGGAAGAGACCGGAGGGTCTTTCAGCACTGGGAAGCCCGGTGGCATCAGCCGAACTGCGCTTCCACGCTGGGGTTGCTTGCTTTTCATATCATAGTTTTCAAATTCAAAGCAACACACAGCAGGGAAAAAAAGGACACTGACTAAAACAGTCAGGGAACAAAATCTAAAATTCTATAAATTCAAACAGCAGTATTACAAAGCTCTCGATCACTTATCTAAGGAAAATAAATAAATAAATAAATACAAATTAGCCACCGAGCAGGGCTGATTCTGAAGAAAGAGCCATTCCGGGCACTCCTTTTGCTTCTTATAGACAAATTCAAAGAAAGTGTCTCATTTGATGCGGGTTGGAAAATATGGACCATAGAGGGAAAACATTTCCTTTATTAATACCCAACCTGGCCCCAAAATGAGGGCAGCAGATCAAGATTCTCCAACGTGCAACACAACTGAAGGGCAGTGTGGGACTGCACTACATTACTACACTACATCTTACTGCATTAAAAAGATAAGCTAATACCATCAGTGAGAAGGTGGAACCAACCCCAGCCTGCTTGCAGATGTATTTAGAGAATACATTGGCTTTACCAGTAGTCATAGCTCTCATCCCAGTTATCGAAGTGAATGAGCAGGCGGTTTTCCAGCATGTCAGTGATGGTTGCGACGCACATCAGCGACGGGTTCTTCTTGTCCACTGCCTCCAGCTTCATTCCCAGACGAAATCCAGAAGGGGTGACAGGCTAAGGAACAGGACACCCGGAAAGGGAACCTTGGCCACACTGCAGACCAGGCTGCTTAAGCTACTATGCTAAATGCATTTGTGGCAGGTTTTAACTCAGAAGTGCATAGTCCAAAACACACTATAGCTACCAGGCTGACGGTGCATCTGACAAGAGACACGAGCTGGGTGACGGATAAGTACGTTCAAGCTCCCTAACCTGATGATGGATCCCAAAGTGCACATAGGCATGCTGCTAGAAAGCAGAAATTATTTTGGAAATTAGTAAAATAGAGGAAAGCAACACAAATATTTTGACTTTGGGGACATAGCAGAACAAATTGTTGTAATATATTTAACAAATGGTAGTGCAAATCTTTTCCTCCAGTATTAAGAAGGGGAAACAAATCCTCCACCTGGAAAACCAGTGGCTGGAGGAAGGAAAAAAAATAGCACTAGTTTCCCATCCTGCAAATAAATCACAGCAGGAAATAGCTTGCATCTGATTGCACACCATGGTTGCACCTCTGGCATGAATGTATTAGAAAACCATGTAAATATTCTGGTCAAAACTTGCTTCAGATCAGACCTACTTGAAAACACATTGTATTCAATACCAGCACTTACTGCGCTAAGGCTCTTGAAAAGGCTTTTTGGAGCTGCTTGAGCTTTGCAATTCTTCAAATATGAAGTCCAATTAAATTCTTCTTCCTTGAAGCCTAGAAAGAGAAGTAAAAGATTGCTTGACACAGCCCCATTACAATCAGATTGTTTTTTCAAAGATGGAAATTAGCTGGGAAGAGTTTGAACTTTGCAGGATAACTGCCCTTGCACCATGTCCAAGGATCATGCAACTCCATTAAAACACTTTTTCCTTTGCATTGCAAATTAAAACATTTTACTGCACTGCCTAATTATTAATCTGAAACTGCACGAGTTCTTAGGAAATGAAGGCAGGAAAGAAGGAAAAACTGCAGACCCCCAAAGAGATCTCCCCGATTCACACACTCCTGCAATAAATATTCCAGTTTGACTAACCATGTCAGTCTTTAGGAATATCAAAAGGAAGCTGCCTGATCCTCTGTGATTGCACCTGTCTTAATTACACCTCTTTCCTCTAAATGACTCAGATGAAATCAAATTAATAACGAAACAGGGCTCGCCAGCATGACTGGCTCCTGGCAGAACGTACGGTTTTGTGCACGCCACCGTTTCCCTACCTTTAGGGGGGAGCAGCTTATGGGCTGTTTTTTCACACCAGCCGACGGGGTGGATGTCTGAGGAATCGGCGTTGACCCAGAAGTCGTAGCACTCCTGATAGCCGTCGAAGTGCAACCGCAGCCTGTAGCCCTGGACCTGGAAGCAGCGGAGCTCCGTGAGCACCGAGATTCAGAAAGCAGCTAAACCAAAATACCAATGTAACCCTCCTTCCAGATTTGGATTTATAAATAAAAGTAAATTTAAGATGGGATTTATTTTCAAAAAGCTTAATTTGATGTTTTCTCATTTGCATCGTTTAAGTTTCCAGGCTGCTCTTTTCAAGCAGTAGAAAATAAAATTGGCCGGTGGAACTTCCTCAGCCTCATATTCCGCATTCCTGTGCCGAGTACAGACACAGCAGGAGAACATTTATATCTACACCAAATCAATGCAGATTTCACGGAACTGAAGCAGCCTAAAAGCATTTCAACTCGCTTTGTATTTCCTAAGTCTCAGAGCCTAATTTCATCATTCTTCTTCATATTCATTCACTGCATGAAATAAATAGGGGCACTTTTTCTGAATTACAACTGGAAGAAAAAAAAATGACAGTAGGTTTTCAGGCTTAGATCCTTAACCACATAAATGTATTGCTTTAGTGTCACCTTGAACTTCTCCTAATCAGTGACTTTATTAGAACGTTATTCTTTTTGTGTTTCTAGCTTTTTGGTGGACTAAAACACAGCCCTCCTAAACAAAAATATAAATCTAAATGAGATCTTTGGAATCAGAGATAGGAAAAACACCTACCTCAGCCACAGTAAGGACACAGAATCGAGATGGGTGTTCGGGGTCCAGCCCTTCTAATTTCATTCCGGCTTTAAATCCATTTCGGCCTTGCGGGAACGATTGATACTGTGAGAGAAGGGGGAAAAAAAGGTGGGGAGGGATGGGAAGAAAAACCCGTTTTTAATCCTGAAGACAAAGTCTATTGCAGAGCAGCTATCAAGTATACTTAAGGTTTTAGATCTTCAGCTCACAGAGGAAAAATCTCTCTCTAAATGACTGCTGTTTTAATGGACAAGCACAGGCAGAGAAATCGATAAAGGCCCAATTGCCATATTTCAAATTTACTTAATATAACATTTTAAAAACTCATACGACTACTATGAGGCTGCAGCAATTAACCGTGATGGAATCTTGTAGCAGAGGTAGCTTGATTTGAACACAGAAAACGTCCCCTTCACAGCCTGGTGCAGGAAGACTGGCAGAAACAGGGAAGCTAAAAGGCTTTTGCCCATACGAGCACAAGCTCAACAGTCCAGCCTTTTTTGAAAGAGCTTGTTCCCTGTAAGATCTCACCTTCCATTGATAGAAACAGATAAGGCCTCTGTACTGGGGAGGAAAAGTCCTTTCTTGGATCATTTTTTCTTTATTCATCATTTTAATTCACATTAAAAATCTGAAGTATAGACTAGGCTTAAGGAGAAAATGCAACTGGCTGATTGCAATACACTGATTACCTGGGTTTGATTCTCATCTCCAGCTGCAAGGTGCAAAGAGCCCTTGGCTTCAGAAGAACCACTGGGAGATGAACTTTTACTTCAGGATGAGGCAGTGAAATGCTGAAGGGCTTCAGCAAAGCTGAATTTGTTCTCTCAACTTCTATAACTGTATCAGACCACGAGTGAAGGCAGTTTCCACCCGAGCTGATTTATTCAGAGCTACCCAAAGCAGACTAAAGAGAAAATCTTTGCTCATTTGTGAGTGGCTTGATTGTTTTTGCTTTTTGCAGGGCTTTTGCTGCCTGCTTACACCAAAACAACTAGCAAATATAGCTACAGGACCAAGGGAGGCTGGTTTTGCTTTTTGCAAGGCTATTGCTGCCTGCTTACACCAAAACAACTGGTGAATGCAGCTGCAGGACCCAAGGCAGCCTTCAGTTTTACTTCCCTAAAGTTGTTGATTCTGTAAGTTCGCCTGAGGAAAAAAAGTAGGGAAAGATTCCAACAGCTGCCGACCTCTCTGAAGAGCTTCAGGGGAGCAGCTATCATCTGTTCCTCTTCCAGGTAGGAACCCCAGTTCCACACTGCCTTCTTCGCAGGAACAGCTAAGGAGGCAAAACCAGAAGGATTAATGCTTCTTTTGGACACCTCCTGCTCTGCCTTCTCTTCAGCCTCCCATTTGGGCCAGTTATTTATAATAACACCCAAATGCAACCACAGCCACCACTGCCTTTGATCAGGTAGAAGGATATTTCCAGGGCAAGTAGCAAGAGAAGTGCAGGCTACATACAGGTCCCTGGGATCCCCTCAAAGCAGGCAGCAGCAACCAGCCATTGAGAAAAAATACTAATTCCAGCAGTAGTACAATTGTATTCCTCTTACATTAAAAATAAATAAATGCATATATATTTTTTTATATATAATAAATATATATATGATTATAGGTCAAATAAATTGCAGTCAGCCAGTTGGCAAGCTGCCAATAAGAAAGCTGCCACTGCAAAGTTTGCCACATGGTATACGAATTCTGGAAACAATTCCTTCTCCTGATATTTCACAGAGGAGCAAGGGGTTAGATATAAACTAAAAAACAAACCCAAAACAAATGAAAAATGCAGTGAATTTTTGGTCAGTTCACAAGATTGCATATATATTCATAATATGTTAACCCTGTGGAAATCTGGTGGAAAGGCAGTGCAGAGATGAACATCCCAGCTTGGCAGGTGTTTGGATTCAGTGTAGCAGGATCGTGCTCATATACACACAGGAAATTACATTTCAAATGCATGTTCAATATCTCTCCCCCCTCGCTTAACATACACCAACTGCCTGAGGGTGCACAGGAAACCCAAGTCAAGCTCCATAAGCAGCCACACGTTGCTTGCAGCTTATTTTCTACTCAGAATCTGCAGCAGGTGCCTTTGAAGCCCTCTGAGGTCAACGGCCAAGAGCCTCGTACGGGCTCCCTGGCCACGAGTCCAGCATCATCCAAAGCACCTTTCCAAAGACTGACCGTGCCTTGTGTACCTAACACAAACCAAGCTACTCTGACTGTGAAACGAGCTACTTGCTTCTGTTGCTCTTCTTACCATAGTTCATTTTACAATAGCTAGTAAAAAAATATTAATAATAAAAACTATAAGCATTAAAAAGAAGAGAGCATGAGCTTAGCTCACCTTGTTTTACTGGCTTAGTGTTTCTGCGGCCTTTCATATTATTTGATTTATTCTTCTCCTAGACACAGACGTTAAAAGAAAGTTTAGCAATATTGTTGTTACCTCCCTCTTCGATCATCTCACAATGCAGGCACAATAAGGATGTAACACATAACTAACAGAAATATTAGCTAGCATTATTTCTTTCTAAGCAACCCTTCAAGAGCTTTTGTAGCCTATGTTACATATATAACACATATAACCGCAGCAGTCCACAGTGTTTTAGAAGTTATTCTGTGTAAGTTACTAAAGGTCATTTAAATTTGACCACTGAGGAGCAGCTCAGGACCAGAATCTCTGTTTCAATACACAGAATTTGCTCTCTGTACTGCAGGATTTACATCTTGCATAAGCAACCTCACTGCAATGCTCCATTTTTGGATTTTCTTATGTTCATCTATACGAGGGAATCGATACAGATAAAAATTATTATCTACAAAGCTCTGAAGGAAGCAGAAGTTTCGAGTATCTACTGCCTTTGAAGGCCATCCCAGAAAATGTTGTCTCCCTGTGTTGCATATTGTGTCAGGTTGTAATTCCCATTTCTTCTACGTGTTTTACCACTCAAATTAATTTACCTAGGGCTGTCATTTCTCAAAGCAGACCAAGAAGGGGCAAATCTGCGATCAAAAGCTGCCTGCCAAAACACATCCCAAGAGAGACAGGGATGCAGTTTTGGACCAGGAATTGATGGAGGAGATGGAAGGGAGGTGGGTCTTAAGCCCCACATACTTCCAAATACCTCACCCCATCCCTGAGAAAAGCTGAGCAGCAAGATGAGTCGAGCTGCTGATGGCATCAGGATTTTCAGCTCACGCAGCCACCAAGCAGCTCTGAACCTTGGTCAGGCTGGGGATGCTCTGCACACAGAAGGGCCCTACAGGGCCTGAGATGCCTGATTAAGTAAAGAAAAGATCTAGGGTCCAACCTGAGGCAAGTTACCACTCACCTTCAGCTCCCCAGAGCAGTCTGTTAGCTGTAGTTAGACGCAGCATTTTGGGAGACACAAACCTCACTGCATGGATTATTATTAATGTGAAGAGTATTTGGTGCACGGGCCTGTAACCTACAGCTGCACTGAGCTGCGATCTGAATTCTGCCTTTGACTTCATGTGATCTATTTGCCAGTGTCTCCTCCTTACTGTGTGAGACAGGATCAGACCCAGCCCCTTCGCTCCTGGGCACACAACAGCCTCCACTGGCTCCGTTTTCTTTGCATAGTGAAATTTCGGCCACAGAATTGATTTTACTCTTCAAGGAAATGCATGCACCCTCGCTTACCTCATCCTCATCTGCAAAATCCTGCTCCTCCTCGTACTCCAGCAGCAGCCTCCTCTTCCTTCGAGGCCGCTTGGCAGGTCTGCCAGCCTCATTCACCTGGCAGCTAACACCGACGTTGGGGTTCCCCCTGCTTGCGCAGTCGGCTGGAATGTCGCCGGTATCGCTGAACACCCAAAATTGAGAACAAGATATCAAATTAAAAAAACAATAACGCTCTTGCATTTTCCCCAGTACCTCTGTACCTCTCTGGTAGAATGAGGAGGTTTGGGCTGAGAAACTACCAAGTGAATCCCATTCACAGGACTTTTCCATTTCTTGCTTACTTGTCACAGTAAAACTGTTCTCGAAAGCTGCTTTCTCCATGAAGATTTTTAAATAAAAAATGAGAAGATCCTTCAGGTTACTCACCTGCTCCCATCCTGCTGAGAGCACGTTTGAGTCCCGAACCTGCCATTCGCAAACCTATCCATTTGGCTATAGGCCTGGAAAGCAGGACTGGGCAGGACGTCTCCAGGCACTGCAGAAGCCAAAGAAAAGCATTGCGCTTAAATATTAAAACTTTGTACCTTTTAACACCCTTCATGTAAGCAGATCAGGCAAAGCTCTTTACAAGCTTTCATTAAGTGAATCTCAATAGCCATTGTGAGGCAAGTCATTATCTGTGCTTCAACTTATAAAATGTGAACCTTCTCATTGAAGAAAACCACACATGGCTGTAATATTTTAATTTCAGAGAAACTCTATTCTCTGAAAAAGTACTAAAGAAAGGATATAATCTCAAGATTGTAAGCAGGATGCAATTAGAAAATGTTTTAATGTGTTTTTATGGCTGGTTTTATTCCTCTACTCAAAAGACAAATATCAAACCAGTCCACTTTTTTTCTCATACTTGCAATACCAAGTCAGTTAGGCTTTAAAATTTTGGCTTTCCATATGCTTTGGACTTTCATCTACAAGAGCTTCTAAAAATGCCATTGCTGAAGCTCTGCTCCTGAAAGAACAGGCTCCGTTTTCGCCATGTCTCCAGTTAGGGAGACCCCCAGTACGCAGGCTAAAATGCTCAGTGTGACACGGGTGCTGGAACCAGGTACTGTTGTGACTCTACCCTAACTACGTTCTCCACAAGCACTCCTGGAACTTTCAAACTGGTGATTCACCAGAGAGCCTGTGCCAGGAGCACTGCGCCTCTGGAGGAAGCGTTTTGGCGAGTTCTGCCTCTGGAAGCAGTGCCAGAAACGGTCTCTTTGGTTTCGTGCCACAAAGCTCACCTTTCACATCAGTGCGAGGGGTGGCGGCAGCGGCGGCAGCAGCAGAAGCAAGGCGAGCGTTTGCAGCTAAGCTTGACAGAATCCTTATGGCCTCTGCTTCGGCTTCAGTGATGATCTCTAGCATCCCAAACTCATTTATACAGAACTGCAGGCAACAGGGAAAGAGAGCAGGCTAGTAAGACAGAGCGAACTGGGCAGGAGGGAGGAGGATTCCTTGGGAGACAAGAAGGTATTGGACAAAGAAATAGCTCTGCATCCAAACGCATTAAAAACAAACAACAACACAAAAACATAGCTCTCCCTCAAAACATCAGAAATGAGCCTGTTGTCAAAGGAAATCACATTTGTGGTGCCTGCTTCGCCCGTGCTCCGCTCCTATGCCCCAGTCTCCCTCTGCCTGAACAGACGGCAGTAAAATGTGGCACAAAACAACCCAGGGAAGGCGCAAAGTCGCGCTGAAGACGCTGCGGCAGCAGCTCCCGGCTGCCACCAGGGCCACCGGCTCCGTCACTGCTCTCACATCCCTTCAGCTCTGACTGGGAGGGATTTTTGTTCTCCCCCGCAAAGCCTCAGCCCTCGCAGGGCGCGGGGACATGGCCACACCATCGCTCTCAGGCACCAGAAGCGCAGCCAAACCGGGCCAGCAGCGCAGGGGATTGGGGAGCAGCCCCGCTCCTCCACACACCACCTCGCATTCGCGCCCCTCGGATCCCGGATCCCATCTGGATCAGAGCATCCTCGAGTCGCTCTCATGAACTTAGAACACAGACACGGACAGTCACCAAAAGCAGCAACCTGCCGAGCAGCGAAACCCGGCCCAGCCCTACAAATACTCACAGGAAAAGGGCTCTCATGCCCGTTGTCTCGTTAAGTCTCATGCTCGACCTAATGGGATTTCCTGCCCCTAGAAAGCTGCATTGCTGTGACTGAGAATTAGGAAGATCAGGCCCTAAATGTCTACAGCAGCAGAAGACAATTTTTCAAAATGAGCAACCGCCTTCCTCAAAATTCCAAATCAGTTGAGGACAAAGCGGGGCATGAGAGGGGGAGCAGAACATCCCCAGGCTTTCAAAACCGCTCCTACACCATCACCATGTGCCGGGGAACTCCAACCAGAGTGCTTAAACCCAAGTGTTTGCGCTCAACTGGGCCCTGGCTGCAGGGCCCGGGCGCTGCCGGAGGCGCGGGCCCGTGCGCCGGCTTCGCTCCTCGGGCGCTTACTTGGATGTTGCTGCCAGGCAAGGTGCCGATGCCGTCCTTCCAGTCCAGGGCACTCATCACGTCGAAGTCTGACGTTGAGGCGGCCGCGGCCGGCCCCGGGACGCTCTGATCCATCGCTCTGCTTACACCTTTTATTCTCTTTAGGTTCTTTATTCAATTTTAAGAAAACTAGGTTTTGAACACAGAGGCATAGAATAAAAGGTCGCTTACGTTTCATGAAGGGGGTTTCAGAATGATGCTAGTTTGGGAAGATGAGGGCAGGAAAAACCTTTCCCCAAGACAGTTTTTATTAAGTCAAGTGTTAAGCACTTATGTGCAGTTTGGGCATAGAAAGGAACGGCAGATGTAACAGTTGCTTGGTGCATAGGATGTTAGAGCCCAGTTCAGTTCTCAGGCAAGATCCTGGGTAATGGGATCTTTGCCTTGGGACTTACTAGTATCTATTTTTAATTCCAGGTGCTGCACAAAGTGAAAGACAGTATCCAAACGGGCCAAACTTGCTACAGCAGCAGCACAACTGTTGCCAGCCCGCTCTGTGCTGTAGATGCCTTAAAGCTCTTAATACACTTAAGCTCTACCCACTGCCACGTCGTCGCAGCAAATGAGCGTGACTTTTAGTTGATTTTACTCTGTATTGGGACCTCCATATCCAGCTGCTGAGCTATTATTGTGGTAGGTACCAGACAACTACTGGCCATAAAAAACTGTACGTTTTTGTCTTTTAAATGTAAACTGAATATTTTCAGCTTAAGAATGTAGATGCTGGCTTATTTTCTATCTCTTTGCTTATTTTTCAATCACATCCTTGCCTTGAGCTGGCAGCTCTGCAAACACCGTTCATTTTGGAAAAGCAGAGCCCTAGCCACAAGCCTAATGGACTCCCTTCGGACGGGGGCCGGTTCTGCTCGAGGATGAGGGTCTCCACCTGGTTGCCCACGTGAGACGGGGCAGGTCTGAGCTCGGCTCTGCAAGACGGGCACCTGCAGCCCGTATCTTTGGGCATCACAACCAGATCCCCGCAGGCCACGCTCTTCCTGCTCCCTATTTTCCCTCCCCGAGGGTGTAAACCCAGCTACTTACTACCCCACACGACCGTGGAGCCCGGCCACACACAGACGGACCGGGATGAGCCCGGAACGGGAAGGTGCCGGTCGGAGCAGCAGGCGCGCGGCGGGTGCCAGCCCGGCTCCCGTTGAGTCGGCGGCGAGCGCGGAACCGGCGTCCGCAGCGACGGGGGCGACGTCCCGCGGCGACGGCCGCATCACAATGCCCCCAGCGCCCGCGCCAGCCCGGCGCTGAGCGCGGCCGGGGCTGCGCGCACTGAAACGTAGGCACGGGCTGGGCTGCGGCGCCGGGTGCCACGGGGATACGCAGGGAGCACTTTTGGGTGCGATTCCTTGAATTTAGGCTCTCAGTGCAAAGGAGCTCAAGCACCAGGGGCTTGTCGATGCTCACACAGGACTCCGGAAACTAGGGAATTTAGTTAAAACTGGACAAGGAAAACAGTCAGAAAGCACAAGGTACAAGACAGCCTAGTCCTAGCCAGTGAAGACCTCATAGAAGAGACCCAACAAAACACCTCCTCTTTAGAAGTCTATTAACCCACCCTAGAGAAAACATCATAGAGAAATTATTCCTTACGTAATGCTCCCTGTGTGTACAATGTACAATAAAACCAAAATAGCCCAGTAAAGGGAGCAAACGGTGCTATTAGAGAGAGAGCAAAACCCAACGGGAGAACTCGTAGAGAGCTGCAGTTCTGCACAAACGCCCCCGCCGTTTGTCCCACGGGAATAACGGGAGGGCCAAACCCCTGCACCAGGAGACAAAACGCCCTCAAGAAGCAAGAGGCATGGGGAAAGCGGCTGCTAACCGCGCTGCTCTGGGCACGGACATCCTTCCCCCAAATGGAACGGGAAGGTAGTGGAGAGCGACATTTCGAGGGAGACACCTGCACGGACAAGGAGCTGAAGTTCAAAGCTGCATCTCCTCAATGTTTCTCCTAATATTCAATTTTTCTCCCAATATTTGGTTAAGACATCTAAGAAACCTGTTTAAATGCCTGCAATTCACTCCTCATGAAGGGCACCTCATGTTTCCTTTTTTAATAAATACATATATATAAAATACACATAAATATATGTGTGTGTGTGTGTGTATAAAACTGTACAACAAAAACTGAAAAATGAAGGTTTTCTGGTGCTTGCTTTCTCAGTGGCTTGGTACCAGCATGCGATATAAAACGTTATTTGTGGCTTTAATCTTACTAGAAAATTAAGGAATTAGAGTAAAAGTTGGCACAGATGGCCGCATAAAAATATTCCAAAGTTCAGTTAGCTCTATGTATGTGGGCAAAATTAGGAATAACAAACCCCAGGAGCTGTTAAGCACCCGCGTCTGTGCTATATACGACGGGGAGCTACAAAATCTATTGTCCCTCTCGCAGAAAACGTTAGATCGGACGTGAAGCTCCTCAGAAGTCATTTAAATTTGAAGAGTGACGTGTTCAGTCGAGTCACTATTTAAAGAAAATACCTAGAAATGCGCTTTGTCAGATAATATGAAAAAAAGTTATACACCTACACACATAAACTATTTTCCATCCCACCTTTCCCAGGAGCTTCCGGGAAGTTTAGATACTGGTACATTATTCCGTAGCAAAGGAAGGAATTAAGCTGGACAGACGGATGCGACGGCGGCTGGGACGATCGTGCAGTCACGAGGGCAGCCCGGGCGGAGGACACAGGCGCACGGAGGGGAGGCTCCGCGCGGACCGGCCCGCCAGGAGGTCCCACCGCCCATCCGTGAGGAAAGAGCAGCGGATCTGCAGCGTCCCTCACGCCCGGAACAGTCGGGGCTGGTGGTTTGGAGAAGGCGGGATTGGCAGAGGTTCCCCTTCGCTTCCATTGCTAAGTGGTTCCAAGTGTCACAGCTGATTTCCAGGTGTCATCGCTCACTAACAAGGACACGTTTGGCCACTTTTCCTCCCTGTTTCCAGTCTCTGATCTGATTCCTCAGCCTCCGACGCTCCCTTCTTCCCTCTCGTCCATCTCAGGATGGCACCAGCACGAGGACACATCGCGAGGGGTCTAACATCACTGCTGCTACAGAGGAGAGGGGACACGAAGACGCTTGGGGCACCCCATATGGAGAAACCATATCCCACATCGCCAGCAAAAACCGGCCCTTTCTACCTATCTCCTAGGGCCAGGTTTTCCACTTCTCCAAGAACATCTCAGCCGACACGGAAGAAGCCGACAAGGGGATTACACCAAAATTCATTCGTTATTCCCACCATGGCTAAAGTCGTCACCCTAAAGCCCCAGGAAAAAGAGAAGCAGCAGCAAAACGCACGGACGCGTCCGCTGCTGGGATGGATGGCAGGATTTACACACAGAGCAACCTCGAGCCGACCTGAGGACAAAGCAGGCCTCGGAGGACGCTCGTGTCCAATGCTTTAATTGCAGCGGTAATTACTTTATCAGACTACAATCCAGCAAATCACCTCGGGGGGCTACACACTAATCGTTACTGCTATTATCACTAATTATCTTTATTATGTATCTTCCAAAGTCAACTGGGAACACTCACCGGGATCACGAATGTGCAATCTAGAGCAAAGGGGGGAAAACGGAGCTGCAAAATACCGACATTTGTGATACACACAAAATATTGTAGTCAGTATTTGAGTAAATTATGGTAAAAAATCCAGTTAGGATAACCCGGTTCCTTCAGGATGCCCAAGACAGCTCCAAGCGCCCCGCGCTTGTCGCTACCCGCTGCGCACGGGTATTTTGGGGAAGTTTCAAACTGAGCCAGCGCCTTCCCGCCGCCCTGGCAATCCCGCTGCCGGCGGGATTCACCCCAGGACCCCGGCGCGGCCCCTTCTCGCGGGCGCGAGACCCGGGGCCCTTCTCCCTTTGCGGGCCGCCACTTCTCCGCACTCCAGTTTTCCTCCCGCACACGGCGAAACCCTTTTCCTTTCCCTCCTCAACACGCCCTTTCCTTCCTCGATACCGCATTTTCCCCCTTTTCCAGCCCATAACGCCCTTTTTCCTCAGCCCCGCTGCTCCGTTCCCTCCGTGACCCCGCTCTTTCTGCATTACC